GGAGCAGGTGAATCCAATGAAACACACTGCTGAGGGAAGTAGCTGTGGGTCAGGAGAGGTCTGCTGTGCCATGTGGGTCAGCTCCCTGGTTAGGGATCGAACTCAGGCCACAGTGATAGCTTGATAACACTGTTTTTAACCCTGCACTGTCAGGGTGGCCCTGAACTTTTTTTCAAGTTCAATCAACATGATACTAGATCGAGAGAGCCCTCAGTCAGACTTTACTGCCATGTACCTAACAAGTCACACGCCAGGATCTTGATAGACAAGATCCCCCTCTTAAATTTAATATTTGGTCTTGTCCATTTCCCAGGACAAGCCACATCCTGGCTATTTGCACTGGAAGAGACTAAGACTTTATACTCAGATAGATCGGTGCTAGAACCTGGGCAAGATATCTTACCGCCGATGAGATTCCTCATTTGTATAGTGGAGTTAACAGTGTGTAACTGATTTCCTGCTGGGCTCCTACTAGATCACCTCTCCTTCTTGGGACTTGCTTTCCAGAGTTAAAAAGAAAAGGAGCAACACAAAACTGTCCCTGGTGTTTCAAACTCTTTTCGAGGGAGTAATCAGAAACTCTTCACATCAAAGCCTAGAACTGAGGTTCTTCCTTCTTACCATTTCTGAAATCTGGAGGAATCAGTCTCAGGTATCCTAACTTTAGAGAAGAAGAAGGAAGAAAAAGGAGAGGAAGAATCCAAAGAGGGCAGGATACTTCCATCTGCAAGACCAGGAGAAGAATTTCTGAACCATGAAGGCACAGATTAGGGGCTTGGGGAGAGAGGAAACAAGGCAGGTGGTCAGGATAGTGGGAGTGTTGGGGTAAAGGTATGGGGAGTAAGAGCTGGCTTTACCCAGTAATAATTGCCCCAGAGTTCTTGGAAGCTGGATGAAGAGGGATTCTTAAGTTCTCTTCCATCCTTTCATTATTCTTCCCTCCACCCCCTACCCCAGCCAGACTGGAGGTCAATCACTGAGTAGAGAAAGGGCCTGTCATGTTATTCACCCTCTTTCTGGCTTCTGCCCTAGAAATCCAGGATTCTGGGGCTTCTTTTTTCTAGAAAGCTCATTACATCACATAAACTTGGAATCACTGTGATCATCTAGGTAGAACAGGCACAGACTTAAGTGAAATAATTGACTTTGAGCAAACTGCTTGAACTCTCTGGACTTCAGTTTCCACCATCTTTTTTATTTTTAAAATTATTTTCTTCCATTTTTTAAAAAGATTTATTTATTTGTGCATACAGAGGCCAGAGGCTCAGGGGCGGCGAGAGGCTTCACCAGTGACAGTGTGGGGAGCAGAACAGGCAGATCTACGAAGTACACTGCTGAGGGGAGCAGCGGGAGGGTCAGGAGAGGTCTGCTGCACCATGTGGTCACCTCCGGGGCAGGCGGGGATCGAACTCATGCGGAAGTGGCTTTAGCTTCTCAGTGCTGTGCTTTAACCCGCTGCGCCACCGGGGAGGGCCCTATGTTCTTCCATTTTTAACATGAGGATAAAAGCATTGACTTTAGGGAACTGTGTTGAGAATTGGAGTAGATGGTCCCTGCAAAGTGCTTGGCTCCGTGTAGGCCTCTATGAACATTAGCTGCTGTTGCTGTTGTGGTTATGCCTACTACTGGCTGTCGCCATCCTGAGTTATCCTTTATAACAAAATGCATATTATTGTATGTATCATTAGGAAACAAAAAAAGTGTCACCAAGTACATTATGACCCACCAGTGTTTGACAGATGCAGCCCAATTTCAGAGAGCTTAAAAAATTAAATGCCTCTGGAGCCCTGGCTGGGGATGTGGTTCCTTAACCTGCATTCCGGTTTCACATGTATGTTCACTTATGAAAACTCATTATGCTGTCTACCCTTGGCCTGTGTACACTTCTGTATGTGTAGTATACTCTGAGATGAGGCTTACATTGAAAACAGGCCTAACCTTTTCAGCGGGGAATGGATAAAATTTTGTATTGGCCCCCCGCACCGGGCAAGGCAGGATACCCAGTAGGCACTAAATTAATGCTAAATGAGCAGACAAGTGGCTGGGAATGGGAGAGTTATGTCAGGGTGAACTCTTCCTTTGGAGTTTTTCTATAAAGGGGCTAGTTCAGAAAGATTCATTTTTCAGATGAGTGGGAGATGCCCACCCCAAGGTCACTCTTCCAAGGTTTTATAAGTAAAGGAACTGCTTAAGGTCACACAACTTTGTAAATGCTGGTGCTCAGGTGGTAGGGCCTCAGAAACTATGCATGCTGCTGTACTATTTGGTGGGGGGTGGCAAGCAATACTTTCCAAAGCCCACAGGCCCTTATGTCACCCCTCTAGATTCAGACATGAAGATGCCATGTCTTAAGCCACTCTAAGGGGTTGGGAGGCCTCCTGGACCCTGAGTCTAGAAGGGTGCCACCTGCATAGGGAGAATGAGGGCATTTGAGAACCAGCATCTGATCATGTTCTAGAAGGAATGGGGGAGACAGTAGGATTTATGGCATGGTTGATTGTTCCACTCATGGCAAGCTAGAACTGGTGGAACCTCAGACTGACTGGCCGTTTCTCCAACCAGTTCACAGCTGGACTGCAGACAGAAAACCCATTTGGTTAACCTTATAACTGTTTGGTTGACTACACAGCCATGGACCGACAGGGAGAGGGGCAATTTGAGGAACTGCCAGTGTGGTTTCCTGATGCAGGGAGGTACTGAGCATGGAACTGAAATATAACCTTCTTGGGACTGGCTGAGGCTGCTGGCCTGATGTTGTAGACTCCAGGCAGCCTCCTGGGGGCTGACGGGCTAGAAGGTTGATGACCTGTGATGCTACTGCCTGCCTGGGTGGTGGGATGTTGTGAATGGCTGACTATTGGTAGGAATCCTATCTGGATGTTACAGTCTGGCAAGGTGTAAAGGGGGGTTATCCTGAGGGAATTTCAAGCAGACTGATGGATAAACCTGTGATTGCCTAATAGGCAAGTGTATCTGGTCACTGACTGCCCGGGCTAAATCACATAAGGCTTGACATGTGCAGTGGAGAACCACTCACTGGTTGATCGACAAAATGATGAGGGGCAGACTGAACAAGTTACAGGTAGACCATCCAACTGAAAGATCTGTGTGGCTTCCCGACTTGATGGCAGTGCACCATTACAAAGTCTCCTTGAGGGGTGTCCAATGGGTCAGGGGATACTGACTGACTGACCCGGTGGGGATGCCTGGTGTAAGGACAGAGTGCAGAACAACTTCCAGGTGACTTGGTGTCTATTTGCCAAGACTGCACCGAGGGCCTAACTGCTGGATCATGGTGTGAATGAGGGAATTACACAGACACCAGGTGATGGTGGAGAGTGGGTTGACAAGGCTCCATGACAGCCTGCTCAAGGGCCTGGCTGGTTGCTGGGCTTCACTGAATGAGGCCAGAAGTGTCAAGATGAGTCCCTCCCTCCCCCAACCTGGACATTCAGAACTGGTTCCAGGGCCAAGATAGCTGGAGAGTCCAGCTGCAGGAATGAGTGAGAAGGATCAGTGGAAGGGAGTGGCTGGCTGGCTAACAGGGTCTGCCTTGAGGGGCTCACAGCCAGCGACTGGACATGAATGCCGCTGACAGAGGACTGTGGGGGCGGGAGCTGGCCCATGTTCTGATGAAACTGGGTAACTGAGCAGCTGTATGTGGCGATGACCCACCATCGGGCCATCCAGGGAGTCACGGCGGGCTCGGGGGTCAAAATGGGGTGCCGGCCGGCGGCCGGTGCCTGCGCTTCTGACAAGGCACAGGATCCCCCACATGGCCGGCTGACAGCGTGATTGGCTGACAGCGTGACAGGCAGAGCGGCCTAACGCCAACGCCGCCGCCGCCGCCGCCACCGTAGCCCAGACGCACGCTGGGAAACCGCAGCGAGCACCCGCCTTCGGGACCGAGCGCGGTGGCGGGGAGGGTCCGGTCACCGCTCGCCGGTTGGTCCGCGCTGGAGCGGCTCGCAGAGCGGCGCGGCCAATAGGCTGTGCGTTCTCGGCCACGCCCGCGCGAGCTCTCTTCTCGCGACGCCGGTTAGGCCCGAATGTCGTTAGCCGTGGGGAAAGATGGCGGAAAATTTAAAAGGTGAAGCAGTGGTGGCAGCGGCGCGGGCCTGCTGGCCG